ATCTTTTTGTCTGCTAATATCATTAGTCCAATAAATGCATTGTGTTCTATCTAACATTGACATAGGGAGTGTAGCTTCTTATGATTAGCGTTTGCATGATTTGTTTCATTTCCTTGTTTTATTTTTAATCTACATGTATGTCTCTATTAAATGAGGTTTCTTGTAGATAGCTTATAATTGAATGTTTATTTTATTCATTTTGATCTTTTTACAAGAATGTTAGATCATTTGTATCTAATGTAGTTATTTATATGGTAGAATTTTGGATCAACCATCATGCCATTTTAATTTTTTAAATTTGTAAATAGTTTTTAATTACTATAGCAATTGTATATATTTATGGATTATAATGTAGCATTTTGATATATGTATATAGTAGGTAATGATAACATAAGAATAATTGGCATATTTATCACCTCAGACATTTATCAGATATTTAACACCTCAGACATTTATCAGATATTTAACACCTCTTTATTTTGGAAAGATTAAAAAACCTATTTTCTATTTTGAAATATTCAACTATTTGTTGTCAAACCAGAATTATCCTGGTGTGCTGCAGAACATTAGAAGTTATTCTCTTATCCAACAGTATCCCTGCACTCATTAACCATCCTCTATCCATCCCCGTTCCCCTGTAACCTTCCCAAGCTATGGTAATCATTATTCAATTCCCTAATTATTTGAGGTCAATTTTATTTTCCTTATATAAGTGAGAAAATGGTATTTGTCTTTCTGTGCCTGACTTATTTCATGTAATATAAATTCATCCAGGATGTTGCTGTAAATGACAGAAATGTATTGTTTTCATAAATATTTCACTTTGGATATATACGTTTTTCTTTGTCCCTTTATCTGTGTATGGACACCTAGCTTGATTATATATCTTGACTGTTATGAAGAGTGTGGCCATAAACATTTTAGTGCAGATGTCTCTTCAACATATTGATTTTATCTCCTTTGTATACATTTGTATATATACCCAATAGTGAGACTGATGGATTATATGATAGCTCTTTTTTTGTTCTTTGATAAACTTTCAAGCTGTGTTATATCAGCATCTCACCAAGAGTGTATGACAGTCACCCTGTGTCTGTATAATTATCTGCATTTTTCAAGTATTGTCTTTTGATAATAACCATTGTAACAGTGGTGAAGTGGTTTATTGTGGTTTGATCAGTATTTAATGATTAATAATACTGAATTTTGTTTCATATACTTCTGGCCATTTGTATGGCCACTTTTTGAGGAACATTTGTTATTTTTCAAAAAGATGTATTTATTTATTAGAAAGTCAGAGCTACACAGAGAGAGGGAATGACACAGAAAGAGAGAGAGAAAGAGATCTTCCATCCCCAAATGGCCACAAAAGCCCAGGACTGGGCAGGACCAAAGCCAGGAGCCCAGGCTTCTTGCAGGTGTCCTGTGTGGGTGCAGGGACCCAAGGACTTAGGCCATCCTCTGCTATTTTCCCAGGTGCATTAAAAGGGAGTTAGACTGGAAGTGGAGCAGCCAAGACATGAACTTGTGCCCATATGGGATGCTGACATCAAAGGTGGTGGGCCTTATCTGCTATGTTTCAGAGCTGGCCTCCATTAACATATGATGTATTTTAATTGGATGATTTTTTTTTCTTTGCAGTTGATTGAATTCCTTATATATTCTGAAAGTGATCAAATTTGAATGAATACCTTGCTGGTATTTTTTTTTTTTTTTTGCATTTTGTAGGCTATCTCTTCACTATGTTGAATGTTTTCTTTTTTGCTCAGAAGTTTTTAGTTTGATGTATTTCTCAAATTTTATTTTTGTTGCCTGGGATTTTGGGGGTTACATAAAAAAAAAATCCCTGCTCAGGCCAATGTTATGAAGTATTTTTCCTATATTTTCTTCAGGTAATTTCAAAATCCCTGGTCATACATTTATGTCTTTGATCCATTTTGAGTGATTTTTATATATTTTGGGAGATAGAGATGTGGTTTTTTTCTTCATATGGATGTTCAGCTTTCCAGCACTATTATTGAAGGAATTTTCCTTTCTCCAAAGCATATACCTATGTTGTTTGTTAAAAATCAGTTGGTTGTAAATACATAGATTTTTATTGATATTGTTTATTCTGTGCCATTGGAACACGTGTCTGTTTTTATGCTAGTACCATGCTGTTTTGCTTACTATATTGTGTAATATGTTTCAAAGTCATGTATTGCAATACCTTTAGCATGCTTCTTGTTCAGGATTCACTATGGCTATTTGAAGTATTGTATGGTTCCATCCATATGGATTTTTGTCATATTCTATAATTCTATAAAGAATGTGATTGCTATTTTGAGAGGAGGTGCATTTAATCTGTAGTTTTTTTTAGGTATTGTGGATGGTTTAACAATATTCTCATAATCCATGAACATGGAATGCCTTCCCTTTTTCATGTCATCTTGAATTTCTTTAATTGATGTTTTGTAAGTTTTATTTTATAGATCTTCATTTCCTTATTAAATTTATTCTTAGTTATTTTTGTAGCTATTGTGAATGAGATTGCTTTCTTCATTTACTTCTCAGCAATTTCATTTTTTGGTGTATTCAAAAGCTATCAGTGTTTGTATATTAATTTTATGCACTGTGACCTACTGAATTACTTTATCAATCCTAACAGATTACTCGTGATGCCCTTAGATTTCTTTATACATAATATAAAACCATGTTTTCTGCAAATGGGGTAATTTTGCCTCCTTCTTTCATAGTCCTGATCAAAGAGGAAGTAACTCCAGTGTTTCCCAACTTGGGCTGTAGGTTTGTCATGTATAGCTCTTAATGTGTCGAGATACTTTTCCTCTATATTTAACCTTTGAGGGTTTTTTGTCACAAAGGGATATTAAATTCTACCCAATGCCTTTTCCATATCTATTGAGCTGATCATAAGTTTTTTTTGTCTTTCATTCTATTGACATAATATGTTATGCTTAACATTATATGTGTGCTGAAGTATGTTCACAGTGCTGGGATAAATTCTACTTGAACATGGTATGATGTTTGCAGGATTTATTTATTTATTTATTTGAAAGGCATAGCTACAGAAAGAAGTAGACACAGAGAGATCATGCATCTGCAGGTCCATTCCTCAAATGGCCACAACGGCTGAGGCTGGACCAGGCCAAAGACAGTAACCTGAAACTTCATCCAGGTCTCTCATTTGGGTGGCAAGGGCCCAAGCACTTGGACCATCTTCTGTTTTTTCCCAGGCACTTTAGCAGGGAACTGAATCATAAGCAGAGCATAGGGGACTTGAACTGCACTCATATGAGAAGCCATCATTACAGATGGCAGCTTAACCTGCTGCACCACAGCACAAGCCCCAGTATGTTTTTATACATATATACAGATATATATGTATATATATAATATATATTTTAAATATATATATTTTTAAGTGCTGGTGTTAGTATGCTAGTATTTCTTTGAAAATTTTTGCATATATATTCATTAAGAAAAGAGATTATAATTTTTTTATTGTATCTTTGTCTGGTTTTAGTATCAGGGTAATGCTAATCTCATACAATGAATTTGGAAAGTTTCCTTTCATTTCAATGTTCTGTAGGATAATTTGAGAAGAATTGGAATTAGATCTTTAAAAGTTTGGCAAAGAAATGAACAATGAAGCAATGTGGCCCATGGATTTTCTTAGCTGGGAGAGTTTTTGTTACTAATTGAATCTCATTTGTTAATGGCATGCTCATGTTTTCTAGGTTATTTGTGTCCATAAACATATCCATTTCTTCTAGGACTTCCATTTTGTTAGTATATAATAATATATATATAATATATAATAATAATAATCATAATAATGCTATCCATTTCTGTGTTATTGTTTATAATATTTTTTCATCTCTGATTTCATTTGTTTTTTTCTCTTTTTCCCTTTAGTCTAGCTAAAGATTTGTTTATCTTATATTTTCAAAAACAGAACTTTGTTTCATTCATCTTTTGTATTTTTTTCATCTCTATTTCATTCATTTCTTCTCTGATCTTTTTTTTTTCCCTACCAATTTTGGGTTTGGTTTGTTCATGCTCTTTTAGTTCCTTGAGCTGCATAATTAAGTTGTTTATCTGAAATCTTTCCTTTTTTGGATGTAGTCATTTATTGCTATAACTTCCCTGTTAGTACTATTTTTACTCTATCCAAAAGATTTTGTTATCTTGTGTATTCACTTTCATTTTTTTCAAGAATTTGTTTGAATTCTTATCTATTTTCATTTTATTTGAAAGGCAGAAAACATATAGTATAATAGTTTGTTTTTGCCCTAGCCACAGAAAGCCTTATGTGTTTTTTATTGTTCATTTTAGTTACACATGAATTTTCCAGGTTTCATAGCAAGACACCAGTTTCCTTAGACTCCTATACTTTTTGTTATATTATAATTTCCCCTATTCAAGACGTTATCCTATTTTACTTTTTGTTACATGCTTTTTCTATTGCATTTTCATCACTACACAAACATAAATCCAGCCTTCCCAGAAAGTCTATGGGTTAGAAAGAAAGCGTTGATTATTGAGATTGTCAGAGCATCAAAACATGGTGTACATACAGGTACTCAAGGATTCGTGAGTATTGACTAAGGATTATAAGACCATATATAATTTATCAGCACCTGTTCTGTGCCAATGTGCTAAGTGCTTTATACATATGATCTGTGTATTAGTGTTCCCATTGTATAGAAAAAAGAAAATGACATTCCAGGAGCTTTTGAGTGTTTTGTTTGATTCCACATGGCTAACTTGAAAAACTGGATTTTTTTTTTTTGGAATCCAAAACATTTTACTCTTCAAATAATACTCCAGAAATTATGGGACTACCAATTGTTTTTCCTATCACTTATATTTTTCAGGAAGAAACTTTACAGTACATTTATTGCACAATTACATCACTTTTCTCAATATTATTCTCTGAGTTTTAAGACACCATTGATAAGCTCATATGTGAATCTGATACTTTTCTTTCTTCATTTCAGTTTGATCCATTAACGATAGAAAGCAAAAATGCAGCAACTGTGGTGTTGATGCTTAACTCTCCAGAAGAAGAAATTTTGGCTAAAGCATGTGAAGCCATTTATAAATTTGCTTTAAAAGGTTTGCATTTTTTTCTTTCTTTTTCATTGGTTTCTTAAAAATCACTATATTCTCCCTTATTTCTTGTCAGATGAAGTTTTTCAGGCAACCAGAATATTTGATGCATTCCTAAAAGTAACGTATCTTCCTAAGTGCCTAACTGAATCTTAAAGAATAATTGAGCAAGCAGTTAGAATAGTCATGGTGAAGGTTGCATCACAGTTTGACTATCACATGCCCTAAAAGAACTCACAGTCGTCAAGTGTGGAATAATTTGAGAAAGCAAATAAATGGTGTTTGATTATAACCCAAGTAGGAAATAAATATACACAAGTCCACAATGATGTAAATAAATGATTGGATAAGTAAATAAATGGAAGAAAAAGGCAAATTTCCCACACAGAAGGATTTCAGATAGAGGAGAATCTAAAGAATCTATAAATAAAATATGACTTCTCACTCTCCAGGCATTTATTGAACTTAGTGCCTTCTTTCCAAAGAATATAATACAGAGGTGAGGAAGCATATTTTATAATCGATAAACCTAACAAATACTGCCACAGTTAGGTAATCAAAATTAACATCATTATTGATAGCTCATGATGATAATATGTTCCCTTGATATAATGTAATGAAAATGGCACTTTATTTCTGAATTATTTTCCCCAAAACCTATAACTCCAGTCTAATCATGATAAACACAAAATCAGACAAATTCCAACGGGGAACCTTTTTATAAAATACCTAGTGCAAAGTCATCAAAACTGTCATGGCAATATAAAACAAGACAGGACTGAGAGACTCTCATAGTCAAGAGGAGTTAAGGAGATATGATTATAAAGTGACATGGGGAACCTGTAATTCCTGGAACAAAAAGAAGAAATTAAAACTAGGAAATCCAGGGGCCAGCACCGTGGCTCACTTGGTTAATCCTCCGCCTGCGGCGCCGGCATCCCACATGGGTGCCGGGTTCTAGTCCCGCTTGCTCCTCTTCCAGTCCAGCTCTCTGCTGTGGCTCGAGAGGGTACTTAGGGTGACCCAAGTGCTTGGGCCCTGCACCCGCGTGGGAGACCAGGAAGAAGCACCTGGCTCCTGGCTTCAGATCGGCACTGTGCCGGCGGTAGTGGCCATTTGGGGAGTGAACTAACAGGAGGAAGACCTTTCTCTGTCTTTCTCTCTCTCACTGTCTATAACTCTACCTGTCAAAAAAAAAAAAAAAAACAACCAGCAAATCCAAGCAGGTATTGACTTTAGCTAATAATGATAATGTACCAATATCAGTGTATCAATTGAAGATATCTACTATACTAAATCCAAATGTTAATAGTAAGATAAACTGGATCTGAGATATTTGGGATGAACTATCTTTGTATTTCATCTTTGAAATGGAAATTGCAAAAAATAGTTCATTTAAAGTTATAAATGTTCATTAATTGTTTAGAAATATATGGTATGATTATATTTTAGTTTATTGCAAAAGGTTAAAAATTATACTTCTATTATATTGCATGATATTTTAATATACGATATTTGAGGAGAGTTTATTGCATCTTGATATTCTTATCAAAACTTTAGTTTTCAAACTAAATAGGAACAATTTGACTTTAAAGAAATTATACTTTGCACATATTTTGTGACTTGAATGACAGGGAAAAAATCATTCCGTAAGCAAATGGCACAGTTCTCGAGTGGCTTTGTCACTCTGGTCAACACTGAGATGCATACAAAAGCCACAGCGTTTCTGGAAAGTATGGTTTGGTTTCAGAGGACAGTTCTTGGTCAGATTTCAGGGAGATGTTGAATTACGCCTGTATGGCAGGCTGGATCACATTCAGCCTTATACTCACAAAGCTATCATTTGTCATCCAGCTGTCATATGTACTTAATTATGCGTTATTGCTTTTGTATGACAAGAGGTAAAGAAATAAGAATATATTTCATGTTAAATCCATACAAAATAATTTTAAGTTTGGTGTTTTATACAATCAAGTTTTTTTAAATTTTTTAAAAGATAACTGTTGAAGGGGAATCTGAGATGTTGAGTAGGGAAATGCTGCACTGACCTTAGCCACAGAAATATGCCATTAAAATGAAGAACCACATTCCTGGAGGACTTACTGAAAGAAATTTTCAGTGGAGAAGTGATAGAACAAAACAGAAACTATGGGGGAAGCAAAGAGAGAGAACAGATGCAACACCATGACCAGCTGCTGCTGCCAGCCACCCCTGTGTCTATGCAACTGGCTCCTCGCTGGGAAATGCCTTAGTGCTGGGATAAGGTAGGAAGATGCCACAGCTCTTAGCACCAGCAGGTCTAACTGCAGAATTTCACAGTCTCCACTGATTTTAGGGAGTCGAGTAGGGGGTCTGAGTAACTAAGTGGCTCTGAAAACAGAAGCGTTTGCCTCCCTCCTACCCCATGCCCTAACACAGCATAAAACACAGTTTGTTCCGGTGGAGTCATTATCTATTCTGAGTCAGGGGACAGCAAGCAGTTTCACTTCTACCATAAGCCACCAGAGCCAGAAGGGCACTTTCCAGGCTAGAGAACAAACCTCTGCACTCTGCAACTGCAGGAATTCTGGGCATACACTCTGGAGCTTCACTCATTCTGTGTGATACGGGGGGGAGGGGGGTCCCCTGGGCTTCTTACTACACAACCTGCGGACATTTAGTCAGCACTTCCTGGAGCACAGTGCTGGGAGCCCCATGCAAAATCCCAGTGTCACCTTTGCATGCCACAGGGGAACTGAGGAAAGTTCCAACTATGCCTTGCAGGATTGGGACTGCTGATGTTGATATTATAATCCCTGGAGTAACTTGCAACCTGTAACTAGCTGAGAGAGGGCAGACACCATTTTGGACATACGTAACAGCTGCCTCAGCTTGTGCCTGCATGCCCAACAACCAGCTAAGAGGAGATACCTGAGTGTGGCTGGGAGAATTGAGAGGGAACTGAATGCTCATGACTATGCACTGAGATGGACTGTAAAAGCACTGTGGCTGTGTGAAAGGGTGCAGGGTGTGGCTGGATCTCTGAGCAGTCTCTGGGTGGCTCCACACACACTCCCTGATTGCCTGGTGAGTCATTGCTGCAGGATCTATGCTCACACAAAGGACTGCACAAATCCTTTGTGTAGTTCTTGTGGCAGCACAGATGAATATTAAACCCACTGGGGCTAGTGCCTGGGTACTGGTCTCCTTGGAGGAGAGGAGATGAGCCTAAGACTACATAAACAAAGCTGATAAAATCCTCCCCTCTGATAAAACAAACAATAGATTTACCATGCCCAACTTGGGCGTCACCTTGGACAGTCCCCTCACAATGTGCACTGAGCAGAGCTCCCGGGCCACATCCAGCACACACCTCTGAGTATTCACTGAAAGAGCAGAAATTCCATTAAGCTACAGAGGCATAAAAAGCTAAAAGCCATAAAAGCCATCACGGGGAAAAAGAAAAAAAAAAAAAAGTATCTCCACAAGTGCCCCAAAATAAACATAGAAACTCAAGACACAGAATAAGGAAGACAATGCAATGCCTCAAAGGAACACAACAACACTATTACTAGAATGTGAAGATGACGAGATTGAAGAAATGCCAGAAACAATTCAAAAAATTGATTGTGGGATTACCTAGAAGTAATCAGAAACAAATCCGTGATTTAAAGCAATGCATACATAACATGGATGAAAATTTTTCCCATGAAATAGAGATTTTAAAGAGAAACCAAAGTGAAATATTGAAAATGAAGAATTCAATACATCAAAAAATGTGGTGTAAAGCTTTAAAAACAGACTCAGTGGGGCATAAGAAAAAATATCTGACCTAGAAGATAAATCACTGGAAATTTTACAGTAGGGAAAAAAAAGAAATTCGAATGCTAAAAAATGGTGTTGGAGATTTATGGGATACTATCAAATGATTCAACATAGGAACATAGGAACAATTGGAACATAGGAGTTCCAATTCTTTTCAAATTATTCAAAACAATTGAAAGGGAGGGAATCCTCCCAAACTCCTTCTATGGAACCTAAATACTAAACTTGAAAAATATATAATGGAGAAAGAGAACTACAGATCAATTTCCCTGATGAACATAGACAGAAAAATCGAACACACATCAGAAATATTATTGACCTGGATCAAGTGGGATTTATCGTTGGTATGCAGGGATGGTTCAACATTCACAAATCAATAAATGTGATACATAATGTTAACAAATTGAGGAACAAAAACCATATGATAATCTCAATTAATGCAGAGAAAGCATTTAATAAAATACAAAATCCTTTCATAATGTCAACTTTTAAGTAAATTGGGTATAGGTAAAACATTCCTCAACAGAATCAAGGCAATTTATGACAAACCCACAGTCAGCATCCTATTGAATGGGGAAAACTTGGAAGCATTCCTACTGAGATGCAGAACCAGACAAGAATACACACTGTCACCATTGCTATTTAGTATAGTCCTGAAAGTTTTATCCAGAGACATTGGGCAAGAAAAACAAATTAAAGGAATACAAATTAGGAAGGAAGAAGTCAAACTAACCCTATTTGCACATAACAGGATTCTATAGGGGATTCAAAATACTCCACTAAGCTACTATTGAAACTCATAAAGAGTATATGTATATGCAGACAATGCCACAACTGAGAAAGAACTTTTAAGATCAATCCCACTCACAATAGGTGCAAAAAATCAAATACCTTGGAGTAAATTGAATCAAGCATGTCAAAGATCTCTACAATGAGAATTACAATACATTACAGAAAGAAATAGAAGATACCAAAAGGTAGAAGAATCTTTCATGTTCATGGATTAGAAGAATCAGTATCATCAAAATGTCCATATTGCACAAAGCAATTTACAGATCCAGTGTGATACTGATCAAAATACCAAAGACGTTCTTCTGAGATGTAGAAAAAATGATGCTGAAATTCATGTGGAAACACAGGAGACCCTGTTCCAGGAGAATAGATAACCTAATCTTATACAACAAAAACAAAGCTGGAGGCAT